GAGCATTTGCCTGATCAATCCTTGGGCATTCTTGAGCAAGTTGAGGACTTCAATGAGTAAAATGGGAGGGAAAATTTTGGGGTACAACAGTTAACATATATAAATATTAACTACCAAATTTCCAATTTTACCCTTAAATTTAAAAAGCGGAGCCCCTTGAGAACAAGTGAGATAAGGGGTGTCTAACACCTTCTCCTCATCTAATTGACTTACGGATTTAGAATCTTTGTACGAACTAGGGTTATCCGTTATATTCTAATCGTTAGGACAAAAATTAATGGTGGCGACTCTCTATTTTTTTGCCGGTTACGACACTCATCTATAGAAAATAAAGGAATCGTAAGACGGTATCTTAGAATAGTACGATACTCCACCGGTGATATATGTTGGCCTAACCCATCAATATGAATAGCAAGGAGAAAATCTTGAGCATGTGCAGCTGGCAAACAACCAAAAACTGTCTTCTGCCTTGTGGTCATGTCAAATTTCACATCCATGTCCTTATCAATTTTACTAAAAAGGGCACTCGCCAAAACATGTTGTGCTTTAGGAGGGACGGTGTCCTTACTAGTAAAATTGCTAAGGTCAAAATCTAGAATCACAATACTAAGACCATCCAAAACTCTATCGAATCTGAGTCCATATCATACATTCCATTGTGTCTCAATATATGATCCTGCAACACTCAAGATTATGCCATAAAACTCAGAAAGGTGTATAAGGCAACCTTTACGGCCGAGTACAAACCTAAACCCCCAATTATAATGGATCATGGGATGGTAATACACTTTTCTTGTTACTCCTATCTTCTTGAGCATATGGGGTCCAAATTCTTAGAACAAAAGATGGAGAAAAAAAAAGGAGTTGGCATAATTGAGCCAACTATTTCTCTATTAGACTTGATCATACTGTTGATAAGTTAAAGTAGTATTATTGATGTTGATGTGTGTAACCGTAAATGCAAGTTGCGTAAATTTGTTATAAATAAAAATTACCAATAGATTAATTTGTTTATAAAATTTTGTGGTATCAGTTTGCTTTACAAATTTATTTATGTGTTACGTAGAAGCTCATATAAATACGTTAACATAACTATATCAATATAAAATAACATAAATCTAAGGTTGTTAATTTTAATGATTAGCTACTTGTGTTTGTGATATGTCTGATGTCAATTTAAAAAATGATTAGTTAGTGTTAGAATTTTTTTTTTCTAAAGACATATGTATTTAGTAAAAAAATTTTTAATAAATCTGTATATAAAAATATATTTTATAAATTATTTTATACGTAAATTATTTTTAAATAAAATTATATTTTTTATTTATTTTGAAGATTAGGTTATAGATTTGATTTTAATTTTTATGTTGAATTGTATTAGTATATTTATATAATTTATTAAATATTGACGGGTTATTATCATATATTTTATATTTGTAAAATTTATAAATATGATCTAATAAAAAATTTTAAAATTGAAATTAAATGAAGAACGGTCATATATTGTAAGTTGTAAAAAAATATAAATATAAGATAATAAGAAATGTATAAAACTAAAATTTGACAGAGAAATGTCATACATTTTAGATTTAGAAAAATAGATTAATATCTAATATATGTTTAATAAATTTTTATTACACTCCGCGAAATTATTTTGAAGATTAAGTTAAAGTTTGATTTTAAACTTCATATTGAATTTGCATTAGCATATTTACATAATTTATTAAATTTTGACAGCGAAATATCATACATTTTAGATTTGTAAAATTTGTAAATATAATCTAATAAAAAAGTTTTAAAATTGAAATTTAACGAAGAATTGTCATATAGATTATAAAAAAATGTAAATATAATATAATAAGAAAATTTTAAAATTGAAATTTAGAAAAATGAGCTAATGAGTCTAATAAATTTTTTGAATTAACTCATTTAAATTTAACTGAAGTTTGTTAACTCATCTGGATTTACAGGTAGATGTGAATATATCTATGATATATTAACTATTGTCTGATCATTTTAATGTTTATCTTTTAACTATTTCTTTTGTTGTTGTTTTATATAATTAAAGTTATAAAAATGATTGTACGATTTATTATAAGTATGAATCAATATTTAAAAATTAATATATATATTAATATGTAATTGAAACTACGTGAATATTTATGAATTACAAAATAAATTATATTATATTTGACATTCCAAACACATGATTAAAATTTAATAAATAATTATAAATTATAATTATATTAATGTTATTAAATTAAAAATATAATATCATACTTAACAATTTATTCATTAATTCGTGTAACGTAAATCCAAAGAATTCTAGTGCAATAGTATATATTTCTTATTAGTTTTCATAAAAAAAATAAATCACAATCTAATTAATTAATAAGATAAATTGATTCAGTGGGATGTGGGAGAATCCATAAACCTGTGATTTGTTTTATTTTATTTTATTTAAATTAATTATTTAATTTAATTTAATAAAAATAACACGTTTTGTTGGTTGTGAGCACTCGTGTTTTATTTTATTTTATTTTTAAATTATTTTAATTATAATGTCCCGTTTATGTGGAGAAACAATTTAAAGAATTTATTGAGAGAAATTAAGAATGTTTTTTTTAATTTCTATAATTAAATAGAATAAATTTTAATTCTTTCTAATGGTATTACATCAGTGTTTTTTTAAAATTTTTAAATTTTATTTAATTAATTATATTAATTTGAAATAAAATAAAAATAAATAGGAGAGAAGTTGGAAAAAAAGTTAGTAGGTGAGTAAGTGGGTTTTTTTTATTGATTTATAATTTATTTAATTAATTAATGATTATTTATTAATTAATAATAGTTTGTTTTTTTAATTATTATTATTTTATTTAATTTATTTATTATTAATTTTAGATTTTGACGGGTAATTTTGGTAGAGAGAAGTTTTAAGATTATAATTTAATATTATAATTTAGTATAATGATGATTACATTATAAATTTAAGTGGCATTTAGATTTTTTTTCAATACTCACCATCCCTTTAAAATCTTTTAAAATAACTATAATTTAAGTTTTTAATTTGGTCTCTTAAATAATTAATTTACTGAAATTGATTCAAATTTAATGAAGTGTCACAAACATTCTCTTTTTTAAGAGTATGAAATATTTGAACTTGTCATTTTCTATAAAGAAGTTCTTTACATAGTGATGTCATGCATTGTGCATTAAAAGACTATGAGATAAATTTGATAGCAGAGATGAAATCAGAATAATACACAAATCATAGTATAGCATCATCGGCTCAGTATAAAAGAGGTTAAAATATAAAAGAGGTTAAAATAACCAATATTAACCACAAAACCTTGAACCCAAACACCGCCAACATTTCAAATCAATCCATCAAAACCCGAGACGTTAGAACTATCATTATCAACATTCAAAACCATATTACTATGTACGTGTACATTTCAGGTGATCGTTTTCGTTGGCAAAACAAAACTATAAAAACATAATATAAAAAATATAAATCTGAGATTTTGTTAAATTGAAGATTTTGCCATTACTGATTTTTTCCGGAGAATTACAGAGATGAACTTTGCGGGAGGAAAATGGCTTCAGAGATGTCAAATTGATATCAATATTTTCGATGAGGATCGACGCGAAAGAGCCCAGTTCCATCCGTTCTAATTGAGTTTGGATTTGGGAGAACTGAAACCAATAAATAGCTTCTTTCTTTTACTCAAAAACCAGTGAATAGCTAAGAGAGAAAAATAGGATAACAAAATGGAAGCTTCCGAATGAAGAATACACAAGAGAGACAATCACAAACACACAGAAGAGGAAGACACCACGGTTATGTTGTCTAGTACTACAAGCTCATAACAAGTTTGCTTTCCAACTTGACCGAGTTCGGTGAGTTTCCCAGCTCCAATTCTATCTACATCGCAGATGTAGTATCATATGATCCCATGTAGCAACTTGGGATTCCACAGGCACTGCATGAGAGATTCCAAACTAGGATCAAAATTCAGCTATTCAAGAACTTGGTGACACGGAGAAAATTAGATGAGTTTTGTTTTTGAGGCTAAATAAGTAATGAAAATCCTGCAAATAAATATATACAGTCCATTCATTGAGAACATCATGGAGTATAGTTTCTTGAAGGAAAATTCTATCCTGTAGTAAATTAGTATCAAAATTTAAAAGTTCAGAGATTTAATCAAGTGACTGATATGTAAGCAAATGCAGATGGTTTACTTCAAGTGAAACCCTTGATTTCTCAACAGCACAAAGCTTCAAGATTAACGCTATTATTCGTTTACACATTATTTTCTTCTACAAAAACGGTACATCATTTTCTTCTACAAAAACGGTACATCATTTTCTTCTACAAAAATGGTTCCGGTATGTCCAAATATAAAGCGACGGAGGCAAAGGAGTCCGTGACTGGGTTGATACCTTTACTTCCAAGTTACTATTTTATGTTGGAAATAATAAAGTAACACAGTTTCTCTTGGTAGAAAATCTGAGTTTACAGCAGCTATCATGCTCAATATAATCTAGAAAAGCCTCCCCATATTTTCACGGTTAACCATATAGTGTAATTCTCCCCAAGTTAACACAGTGGCCAATCAATCACATAAAAAACCTCACTTCAGTTATGAGATACCAATGGACTCTAGCGCAAGTGGTTGGTGTGCAGGATGTTTGAGCATTGTAAAACCCGGATGCTGAGTTTGATTTCTAATCATATAAAAAGTAAAGATGCAGTAGAAACAAGAAACTTAACTCCATATTGCTGTTTCTGAAGTTTCAAAACTATACAAGAGACAGGAGTGACTGATGGAAATATTAGTCATCTGTTAAAATTGAGACAGGGATGAGAGTGAGGTTAAATAGTGAAGATTTTCAGTTCTACGTCAGTTATTATCGCCACGGGAGAGTCCAGTCCCATCAAAGAAACTTCTCAACAGCATAATTGGAAGATTGAAAAGATTCTCCTAATACTCTCACTCATGTGATTTCCTTTGCATTGATACACTACCATCAAAGTCATCATTGTCATCTCCGGAATCAACCTCAGAACCAATATCTGATGACAAATCATCTTCTGCATCCTCACTTTGTCCTACACCATTTCCACCTTTAAAGTCTTCACAAGCATCCTCAACATATGCTCTTGTTACTTGCCCCATTTCATCATCTAACTTGCTCCTCCTATACCCAACCAACTCCCTATCAACCTTAGCTTTCCGGGGGCTCAAAATCACAAGCTCGGCAAGCTTCCGCCGCGCCAAATACAAATCATTAGGCTCAACCAACTCACCTTTCCTATAAGCCTCCCTAAGAAAAACAGTGTGAAGCTTCCCATGATTCCCTCTGGTGGATACATAGAAAATCCCCTGATGCTGAAGCAAAAATTCCTTCAACTTTTTCGGCAAGTCCATTGCCATCCGAAAATGCGCAATCCTCTCCAAAGTAATCTTCTTCTCCACAGTCAAGGATAACAATTCATGAATGGTGGCAACAGCCCTTTTCTCCATTCTCTTCTGCGCCTCAATCGACCTCAAATCATACCCAGAAACAGCTTCATAAGGTGACCAATAAGGTAGCCTTTGCCACTTCCACATCGCAATCCTAAAATACTTACTTATCTTAAAACCAGGTGGAAAATCAATCAAAAAAGAAAACCTAACATCTTCAGCATCACTACCCCTCTCTCTATAAACTCGCTCCCTAGCATTTTCAATTGCACATATTCCTAACTCAGGGTCAAATTCAACAAGCTCAATATACTTATTCCTAGTTTCTTTAGCATCAATTAACCGAAAAAATTCGGGATACCTCAAAACAACCGAGTATTCAAAATCATCCGGCAAGCCAAGTGCGGATCGCGCAATCCTCACATGCTCAAGGCGTAATCGAAGCCCATTGGACATCATAAGCAGCTTACGGAGGCGCGTGACCGCTCGCGAGACTTGATCTGCAAGTGCATTCCGCTCGTGTTCAATCTGAAGAATGGCCTTCCGGGTCAACCTGCAGAAGAGGATACGCTGAACGGGGTGCTCGAAGATTTCAAAGACGTGCGGGAATTTGAGAAGAAACGCGCTGGCTTCATGGCGCGTGAAGCCGATACGATGAGCTAGGGTTTCGAGCCGAGGGATTGGGATTGATTGATTGGGTTCAGAGAGAATGAGGTTCTGGAATTTGAGGACTTTTCGGGTTTTCTTCTCGATCTCCATGTAATTGTCGTAGCCGTGGTCGCGAATTCGTAGTTGTTTTTTGGGGATTGAGGTGGATTGGGACATTCCTCTGATGGGGTTGAAATTGGGGTTGTGTTGGTGGTGATGAATCCATTGTGGATTTTTGAGATTTTGGTTTATGAAATTGGAGATGCGGAGAATGAAGATTCGCATTTTTAGAGTTTTGGGGATTTAGGGTTTATGAAGTGAGGTTGGAGAAGTGGAGAATAGTTAGAGCGGGAAGGGGCGTTTTGCAAAATAATTAGAATATAAAGGGCTTTAATGGAATTATTTTTAGTTTTCGGTTGGATTGGAAGACCACCCACATCCATCAATATTCTTTTGGATTCTTTAAAAAGGATCCGTGTAATTTTTTAAATTATTTTCATACGTGTAAATTATTTAAATAACTTATTTATAATTCTCAAATAACTATTTAATCTATCAAAAAATTTAAAATGAATTCCACAAAATAATTTAAATGCACTCTACATTTATTTGTTTATTATGTTTTATTCTATCTGATACTTAAAGAACATTGTTTAATATGTTCACAGTTACAAACTAACAAACGATGATGTTCATCAATTATCCATGATACTTTAACAGAATGTCTTTGAGAAAGATGTAGACACATCACACATTTAAAAAATATCATATCGGTGCTCCAAGTGGTCACAAAATATATTAATTATTTATATAATTTTAAATTTATGAAAAGAATTATTTAATAATTATGTAATAGTATTTAGTGTGGATTTTTTATTTATTGAAATAACCAAAATTTTCAAATAAAATATCATAACAACCAAGTTTTCTTATTATTAATTAAAATATTCATGTTTCAAACAAAAATATACAAAATAAAGAGGATATATCATTACCACATTTGCTAAAAAAAAGTATAAAGGTGTCACAACCTCTCGCTCATGCACTATCAATGAGGCGCCACATCCCACAAAGTTTATGCATACTAATTTTTTTATAAATAGATCATTCATTCTCTATCATTTTCTATATTTCTTTACTATTTTTCACATTTCTTCTCTTTTTTAACATTATTATTAAAAGAGATGTTTGTGTTTGTTATTCGATTCTCAAGTCTCCAATGTAGACCTGATTTTGGAATACTCGTACTTTTGAGCATCTTGAGAAGAGTTTAATCCATTGGTTAGACAGAGAGATCCAATACGATAAAAAAATTAGAAGAATTGACAGACTTATTTCGGTGTTCAATAATAACGAAGTACATCGTGGGTGAGAGTCAGTTAAAAGTGACAGTAATGTCTTTGTTATGATGTACGCACCAAATGCTATAGTTTTGATGGTTGTAATCTTTTTACTATGTTGATGTGTTAAGTCATTTTATTTGTTAGAAAATAATTTTACCAAAGGGAAGGTGGACACAACTCTATTCTGTAAACCATTTAAAAATAACATTTTTGGCAATGTTTTAAAACTCAGACCGGTGATCGACTCGGTAAAGTTACTGGGTCACTGGGTTACTGGGTTACTGGTCGGACCAGTGGGTCACTGGTCAGACCGCATGGCTTTTGACCCGGTTTCTATAAAAAAATATATTCATTACCTGAAATTTGTAACTATAATAATATAGAAAATTATAAATTCAAATAATTTAGAATAAACAAAAGTATTAGTAACAATCAAAATAAGTGATAGAAACTTAATGTAGCAAATTATAAATTCAAAGAAGTGATAGAAACTTAACAATTCATAAGTTATAGTATTATAATAAGTCACAAAAGTTCATACTCAACGATCCATAATTTTTTATGTCCATGAAGTCAAATTGTCATAATCTTGATATTCATATCCATCTTCAATTTCATTGTCTTCTCCACCAACTTCATCTTCTCTGGTGTTGCTTTTTTCTTGATTCACAGTATCAACAATAGTATCTTGTGCATTACCCATATCTCCATCTTCATCCTCATCTAAATCTATTTGATCTATAACAATATTTTAAAAAATAATTAACAAAAAAAATTTAGAGATGGTAAATATGAGACATTAAATTGATTCACAACCACAAACTATATTATGCTCATATTAGAACATACCAATATCACTTGAAATTGGTTGGATGGTCATATTTGCAGGGTCATTCTGCAATGCTTCCAACTCTTCATTGGTTAAGAGGGATGGTGAATTCTCTAATACCCAACTAGAATGGTCGGCAATTGTTTCAATATTGATAGGATCATAACTCCCATTTCTTATTTTCCTAAACACACATGAATTAAATCTAAGTATATGTATTTAAATATAAAAATATAATGATCAGAGAAAAATAACCATAATAATACCTATTTTGAAGTCTCAAGTTGTAACGAACAAACACTAAATCATTAAGTTTTTGGTGCTCTAATCTATTTCTTTTTTTGGAATGAATATGCTCAAATATACTCCAATTGTATTCACAACCCGAAGCACTACAAGTTTGGCTTAAAATACGAATAGCTAACCTTTGCAAAGTTGGTGTACAAGTGCCATAAGTTTCCCACCATTGATCTATTTATACCATGTGATTAAATAAATTTATAAACATATTGAAATATAAAATAAAATATATATCAAGAGTTAGAAGTTATGAAATTACCTACCCTCACAATACATCGTTCGTCCACGGCTGATTTCCTTCCAAAATCTAATTCACCGTCTTTGAATATTCTCATCTCATCTGTTAACTTCAATCGAAGTTCATAATTTCCATTAGCATGCTTTTCAATGACATCTAAAAGTCCTGATGTTATGGATGCATATTTTTCAAATTCTACATCATTATATCTACAACCTGGATTCAACCAATAACCGACAGCATGAAGGTTTTTGCGGAGCTGTGAATCCCAACGTTTATCTAAGATTTTCAAGTAAGGATCCACTTTCTTCTTATTTCTTTGAAACCTCCTCACCATCTCCTCTCTAGATTTGACTATAGATTTATATAGAATGCCCATAGCAGGTTTATCTTCACTGTCAATAATACGCAACACACGCACAAGTGGTTCAATGAGTTTAACTACATCAGCACATTTACTCCAAAATCCAGAATCTAAAACTTGATCCCCAAACTGTTTTGCCTTTGCTTCTTTGGCATATGCTGAACTTGTCCATTCTTTAGATGTTACCATGGCTCTTAGTGAGTTTTTGTGAGACAAAATACTTTGCAAAGCAATGAAATTAGTGGCAAACCGAGTTGGAGCAGGACGAAGGATTTCTCTTCCACCTGTTTTCTTTCTCATTAAATACAATGCATAACAATGATTATAAATATATTTGGTAACATTAGAAGCATGTGACATTGTCTCACTTACTTCCTCTAATTTTCCCATGTCTTGCAACATCAAGTTAATGCAATGTGCCGCACAAGGAGACCAAAATAAAGTAGGAAACTCATTTCTAATAACCTTCCAGCAGCAACATAATTTGCAGCATTATATGTCACTATGTGAACTACATTTTCAGGCCCAACAAATAAAACCACCTCTCTAAAAAGCTTATACAACATATCTGCAGTTTTTGAAGCATGAGAAGCATCAACGGATTTTAGAAAAATAGTACCTTTGGGACAATAAACTAGAAAGTTTATAAGAGTTCTTCTTTTTCGATCAGTCCATCCACCGGCCATTAGAGTACAACCAGTTTTCTTCCAAATCTCATGATACTCCTCTATCAATTTGTTCACATCTTCAACTCATTTATTTAACAAATAGCCACGAAGACTATGCATAGTTGGAACTTTATACCCCGAACTCATGTTGCAAAGTGCATCAACCATAGATTGAAAATACGCAGAATTAGCTACATTGAATGGCACAAAAGAATCAATGAACCATCTTGCAATAGCTAGATCACACTTATCCACCAATTCCTTACTTTGTAACACACTTTTTAAAGAAGGTTGAGCTCCAGGAGTTGTTATAGGCATAAAATAATTACCAATACGACTAGTATTCTTTCTCTTTTGAGACACAATCACCGAATTTGATCTTGATTGTTCTACATCCATTTCTACTACGCCGCCCTCTTGAGTAGTAAGATCAACATTAAAATTTTGTGCTTGAGTCTTTTTTCTCTTATTTGCACCTTCATCAAGATTTTGTTTCATTAGATATTGAACATCTGGAGGCACCTTTTTACATGTTTCAACTTGACCTTTTATTCCAGCCAAATCGAATTTGAACCTATTAATCCACCCTCCTCTAATAATTTTATCACAGTAAATAAACAAATTAACAAGTTTTCCTTTCTCTTCAATTTGTTTACAATGACCCCAAGCTATATCAGTTTTTCCTCTACTGCTCTGGAGTTGGGTTGGATTTTGAGATGTAACTTCTTCTGAAGTTATTACTTCAGCGGGTGATGCCATATCTAATATCAATCAAAATTTAAAAATACAAAACTATATTATAAAAATATTAACAAAACACAATTCTAAACAAAAATTATTGAATTTATAAAAACATTATAAGAAACATTAAATATGTGCATATCTAAATCCAAAATATATGAATATGTTGTTGTATATTACATATAGGCTACCAAGCATCGTTACTGTGCATCACCATATATAATAAAAAAATAGAAACTTTGCTTTCCAGCCTTTGCTATATATTTTAGATTAATAAAATCCTGAAATTTTTCTTTGTTATATAATTTAAATTAATAAAAAACAGAAAACTTTGTCTTACTATATAATTTAGATTACGTAGTTTTAAACCCAATTTTTATCTCCATAATATACAACGACTATTACAGTAATATATATATATATATATATATATATATATATATATATCCCAATTTCTATCTCCAATATACAACAACTTCATTATCAGTCTATAATAAGTTAATTCATAAAAGTATAAAACTGCTTCATTCATATAAATTCTATCTCAATTTGTTAAACTAAAAGACCCAATTTTATAGAAAATGATCAAATTTAATCATTTATTTTCTATATCAATTAATCAACAAAATGAAACAATAATATTCATATTGAAAAACATCAATGCAAATTAGACCAAGTAAAAAAGAAATAACCTGTTTTTGATGTTTTGATGAAATTTTTGACGACAAACAAGGAATATCAAATAACAACAGCAAGTGGGAGTTTTTGTTGGTAGAGAAAATTGAGAATATGACTTCAATTA